GTAGGCTCAGTGCAGCCTACGCCACTCTGTGAGATGTTGGCTTTACCAATCAAACTAACCTTTATTTAAATAGCATAAGACTAATTAACTAACTCACACGTTTTCTCTTTCTTTTTTATGGCGAAAGGAATGAGCTGGAGCGTCAGTTCCTGGAATTGCTGCAGTTCAACATCAACGTGCCGTCCAGCGTCTACGCCAAGTATTACTTTGACCTGCGCTCGCTTGCTGAGGCCAATAACCTCAGCTTCCCCCTGGAGCCTCTCAGCAGGGACAAGGCGCAAAAACTAGAGGTGAGAATCGCGCTGTACTAGAGATAGGTTTATGTTTTTGGAGCTCAGGTAAAACAAGAAAAAAAGAGGAAAAATATCAATTTATTTCAGCCTGGAATAGAAAAACCAAGGTAATTTGGGTAGTTGGTATTTTGACGAGCTTCTGATCATTACAAAAACATAAATGTTGATCTCCTGCCGGGTGAAGGACAGGATGCAGGGACGTGCTGCTGTGCAGGTAGCTTCGCTCTCTTCCTGTCCTGCAGCCTTACTGCTGTTAGTGTTTCATTCATTGATGCCATTGCTTGATCTGTTGGAGCAAAACAAACTTTTTACAGCAGGTATACCAGTGTTAATAACGGCTGCATTCCATTTAGTTTTAGAGTTTTAAACATCAAGCTGGCTGAAGGTGAGACGTCTCCATGTGACGAGTGGAATTGGTTGATTAATTTATTTGGAGATGAGACCATTCCTCAACATTAATCTAGTTATGTAATGTCCAAAAATAACCCCCAAAAGAAAAAGCAGTTTACTTAAAAGACTGCTAAAAGTGAACCCACGTGTCTTTGTGATTTTGAAAAAATTCTCATTCCCACCTGAGTTGAGCAGGACAATAAGAGAGAAACTCTGGTGTGATCGAGAGGTCATTGTTGTCACTTTCTCACCTGAACTGCACAAAGCACAGTTTAAATGAAATGTTTCTAAGCGCGTTTGGTGTGTGAGCCCATCTCAGACTTGTGGTGTCGTAACCACTACTTACACATAACACACTATGTGTTTAGTACACACACACAGGCAAAGATGTTCTGTAGTCACTCCAACTAAAACATAGGAAGGCACCCCCGGCTCCATCTCACTTGCTCTTTTGTTTGACTTGCAGGCCATCTCACGGCTGTGTGATGACAAGTACAAAGACTTGAGGAAACTAGCCAAGAAGCGCTCGGTGAGCGCAGACAACCTAACAGTGGTGCGGTGGTGTCCGGCCATCATTTCCTAACACTGGCTGTCTGCAGAGGAATGCATCATAGACCTGTACTGTATTTCTGCCTAGTATGCAGGCAGACCAGGTGGGCAGCAGTCGTGTGGATCAGTGTCAGTCTGGAATCTCCTCACACATACACACGCCCCTTCAACAATCTGGCACTATTACAAATGTTATTGCATCCAGACTGGTTGTTGTACATAAAAGAAGTCCTGTTTCCTGCCTGCACCGAACCAAACGGAGCTAAGCTGAACCAAACTGAACGCTGTTGGAATGAAGACCACCTAACTTCAGAAGATAAGCTGCCAGGTGGAAATACAGAAGTGGAGAGACTTGTGTGAAGTCCAGAAATGAAAATAGGAACACGCTTAAAAAGCAGAATACAGGACGTAACAGCGGCAGCGGCGCTCCATAATTCCCTCCAATGCTCAAGTGCTTGTACAGCTGCTGGAGGGGACGCCGTGTACATTCCTTTGATTTTAATCTTCTGGTTCAGTCAGTACGTTAGCTGAAGCATGAGATGATCGTTTGACAGCTTATAGACACATTTCAGACTTTACTTCAATTTCTCAGTTAGTTTGTGTTTTGTTGGGTGTTTTTGTTCTTTTGCATTCCCACACAGCAGCTCCCTCTGTTCGCAGAGACAAGCGCATACAAAAGAAAGACATTTCACTGTTAGCTTAGCAGTACAGTTGACACGTGGACTACATATCCTCAGCCCTCCTTGACAAACAGAATCCGCTGAGCATTGTCTCAGATGGGGACCATTTGACTGAAGTTTTCATCAGGATAACTGACATTCAACAAGACAAGTCCGTTTTTAGCTCAAGGGCACTTATTCACCTTGTAGACATCCAGTTGCAGAATAGTATCTCTGACAGTACGGCCACCCAGCAACCATTCAGATAAAGCAATATTCATGCATCGCTTTGTTGTTGTGATTAAATATAACAAAGCACGCACACATGGGAGGAGATTTACTGGAAGACAGAAACGAGACATACTGTAGAGCTTCTGTTGTACTTTATTGACTGCCATTGCCCTGACCTGTGGTGCCTGTAATAAGCTAGTTAAACACTTCTCCCCTCTCTGCTGGAGAAAAAAAAAAGAACAAATAAGTCTGAAGTATTTTTTTCCTCTAGCGTTTTGTACGGTTCTTCCAACTTACAAAGTAACAGCACAAGTGAAAACATTGACATTAAAATGCCAAAAGCATGAACCTTGAGGGTCGTCACAGACTGAAACGAATGAAAAAGCTTCGAGCGATGATTGAAACACTGCTTACAAAATGATAGATTGTATACATTTTGCTAAATTGTCTTTGTACAGTGTAAATACAGCACCGTCGTGTGCAAAAATCTGTAAACTGAGGTCATAATGTTAAAAAAAAATACAAAAAGAATAAGGTTAGAATATTTATATGGGTCAGTTTATATTGTAAATGGGGAGGGGCAAATATGTCTAAATATGTGTTTCTATGACAAATCAAGCAAAGAAGAGAGTCAAGTGTTACGATTTAAATAGGAAACACCACTTAAGATTTTTTGGTCTCTTGTCAACAATTTCACAATGCCGAAAATGCCATTTTTTTTAATGTGACATAATGTGTGTGGTATGGAGATAACGCATGACAATTTCATTTCATTTCATTATTATTATTATGATTTTTTTGTGTTTGTAAGTCTTCTCTGTGAAACGTTACCCTACTCATGTGTTTTTGATAAAATAAGGATGTTTGTTTCCTCTGATGCTGTAAAATTGGCAAGATGTTGTAAAAGGTCATCAGGTGAGTCAAAAATATCACTCAGTATGTCGTTAAATAATAATAATGTATGAACTGAGAATTCATATTTGGCAGACTTATTCTGTTAACACGCATCACTAACCCTCCTGTTGTCTTTGGCTCAAATTTAATTTGTATCAATTTCCACATAAATTTGTTTTTTTTAAATTGGACTTAAAGATTTAAAAAAGTTAAACCCACAAAAAAAGATTTATTCAGACTGTATTTAAAAGATGGACTTTGTGCCTTAAACCTGCATTTTATCTCATAGCCAGCAGGGGGCATTTCGTCTCGTAGCAAAAAGGAGTCCAGTTGCACAGAAGTGTATGGGGAAAAGGAAGTTGGTGTCAGTCCAAATGCTCAGCTACAAGTTGTAACACTTTTCATGTCTACACCAACTAATTGGCGATTCTGTGAGAAAATTCCCTCTTGACGACTTTTCCACTTCTCACTCGTAGCTGGTGAGTTAAAAAGTTTATTTTGGGTCCTGATTGGGCACGCTGTCCATCTAACGAATAAATCGAAGCTTGTTTTTCTTTTACGACTGATTGGTGGTGTTAAGCACTGGCGTTCAAAATGTCTTTTTTATACAATATTATTCGCTTACATCAACAGTCATCTGATAACCTTTTGCAGCATTTTGCCAGCCTCACAGAAACATTAGTAAAACTGTCATAAACAGTATTTTCATAAACGGCTCCCTTCCTGATTCCTCCTCCTCCTTTTTTTCCCCCTTGAGTTTTTTCCTTTAAAAACAGAAAAAAGGCCAGTCTACAGATTTGAGTTCAGTTGCTGTTCTGGGTGTATGAGGATAGGATAAAAATGAACTTCATGTGACCGGCTGTTTGCCTTACAATCAACCAGACTCTAAATCTAAATCGGTGAATAGACACAATCTTGATGTAATCTAAAAAAGATCTAAGGACTTACTTTTATTTCTTTTTAATGAAATAAAAAGGTCAGGGGGAAAACGCGTTCTGATTTCAAATGTGACATCGGTTTGTTCTTGTGCATTTCATCGGTAGCCTCCAGGATTGTGATTTATGTTACTTTGCTTTTCTAAGCTACCAGAAAATCAGTCTGGCCTGCAGGCGTGCAGAGGGGCAGAACTGTACCAAAGTCATGGAGGAAAAAATGAAGGAAGCTCTGATGTGGTGTCTGATCTTAGAGAAGTGCTTTTTTTGTGTGTGCATGTGGCGCTTTGAATGATTGGTAAATAAAAAGTGCAAAATGCATCTTTGGGGGAAGTTACGATGCTGGAGTAGCTGTTGTGAGATATTGAAAGATTGTATATCCTATTTATTGTATGTGTGTGTACATACCGCCCAGTGTGGTTTTCTCTGCACGCAGAAAGAAGCCGCGTGGCTGACAGTGGTGAATCCTGATGTGGAGAACGTAGCCCCTCCCTCTGATAGCAAAGACCGGTTTTGTGTGTTTGTGTGCGTATGCGTGTGTGTGTGTGTGTGTGTCATAGCCTTGTGCACTGAGCTCTACCTCTGCATAGAGTTTTACTTTTTTCTCTAATGTTATTTCTTCCTCTCCAATATGACATTTTTCAAATTTGATAAATACAGCTTTGATCATGATGGCAGTAAACTGCTGCAGCTGTGACACTTTTGTTCTTCTTGTTGATGGATAATTTCAACAACTTGTACTGTATTCTGTTGTAAATGTCAGTGTATTATTTCCTCTTCATTGAGTCACTCATTTGTTCCTGTTCTGAGTTGCCAAACTTTTCTCTGTATGTTTTCAACTATGATTTAAAAACAAAAAAACAAACCTGCTCCCATTTTAGGAAAAAAACTTTGCAAGAATTAAAATTTCCAACCTTGCAGTTCATGGTGTGTTTTTTCTTTGTCTCGCTTCATCATAATCGATTTAATAATCAGTGAAAGAAACACACTCCAAGATCTTAGACCTCCTTCTCTTTCACCTTGTTAACTCAAGTGTTTTTCACAATAAGACTATATTTTGATACTGTACTATACTGTACAAGTGATGTGTGTTGCGCTCACACAGTGTACCATTTAAATGGCTTACAGCAAGTGCTAATACAAAGATTACATTCTGCCATTCAGTCACTGAGGGACACATTCAGTCCTTCATACTGGCCTCGATTTGTTTTTATTTTATTATTTTATTAGTCCTTTATTTATCCAGGTAAAAATCTCATTGAGATTAAAAATCTCATTTCCAAGAGAGACCTGGCATCATGGCAACAAAAGTCAAGAGATTTGTGTTTTAATTACTGCTGTGGTAACTATCCAGGTCATTTCAATGAAGAAGTGCTGTTAGCTTTTATTAAAAGCACTGTTCGAACCGCTGTAGTGAACACCATCAAGCTGAAGTAATAAGTGAATAGGAACAACATCACTTTACAAGTTGAGAAAGTTCTATAAAAAACAGGAGTCTGTGAAAAACTCAAGTACACAAGCAGAAGTTTTGGCAGTTTGCTGGTCTGAAACATCTACACAATGCCTCAACCTTCCCATGAGAGGCGTTCTAACAAAATCACCCCAAGGCCAGACCATGTGATGCACGGAGAAACATGTTGAACTCTAGTGCACTTGTACAACGAGAGAAAGAAAAAGTACATTTTGTATGGAAGGAGAAAACGTCTCCCTGAAAAGACCGTGGCAACACAGGTTTGAGTTGCAAAGTTACATCTGAACAAACCTAGAACTGGAGATGTTTTTCTCCTAATAGAGAGCTCAACTTTTGGTGAATGATGATTTTGTGTGTGTGGGCAAGCATGGACGTGCTAATGATCACTGATCTGTAGTAATTATGAGCCAAGCCAACTGTCTTTACCCATGTGTGCCCTCAGCAAACTAACGTCATGGGAAATCTGTGCTCTGTACAGGAGAGAGTCAGTCTCTCTCTCTCTCATGGTCTATATACATATATATGTGTGTATATACATATATAGCATACATACACCTGTGCTGTATTTAAGACAAATGATTAAAGATGGCTGTATTTCCTAGCCGTATTATGCGAGCTTCCAGTAAATCCTTAACAGCCATAAACTGCTATCAGCTGTGGGAAAATGCACTTTACAACCTCCTTATGTTTCACGAGAGCAAATCCACTGTCTGCATATCTGCACGTTATCTTTATTTGTCATTGTAAAATTCCTCAGTAGCTTCTTATATTTTTATGGAGCGGCCTGTTCGAGCATGCCTACCATTGTGGTGAAGAACCTAATACAGTAGTTTAGCATGAGTAAGCCGGGAGGCTTGTTCCTCTCCTGTAAAGACAACCAACAGCACCAAAATATCTTTGCAATGCCAGGACAGCGGTGAGCTTTTGCGAGTGGGTTAAGAATAGATCGACAATGGGGCTCACGCCTGTCTTCTGTTGTCTGAGGACAGACGGTTGTCTGCAGGGGACGGAGGAAGAGGTAAGGTGGTGTGCTAACTTCACTCAGCCTTTCAGAAGCTTGGGTGATTCAGATGAATCTGATACAGTTTTACCCGCAGGGACTGGGTGAGAGAATTGGAGTGTCATGCTGCCCACCTGGGAGCCAACGTGATCCTTTGTGGAAAGGCTAGAGGAGAGACAAGAAGTGGATAGGAAGTGGAGTGCTGGCTTAATGATTTTAGCCTTTGGTCCGAAACTGGAGGACCTGACAATTTTGGAGGCCCTTGAGCATAACAGACATGGCGGGATCAAGTGCCTCAGAGGTGCTTTTTATCTCTGTCAATCACAGCATCACTTTAATGGGTGAGTTGCCTCTAGTTTTGTTTTAAATAGTTATTTATGGCTTTAGATATTGGTGTTAAACTAAAGATCATGAGGGGTAATCTCAGTCTTTTTAGGCTGATCGTATAATTGCATTAATTTGTTTTCCTTTTCTTCCCCACAGGAAAGGTGTGGCTCGTCGTGATGATCTTCCTCCGTGTCCTGATCCTCCTCTTCGCCGGTTATCCTCTCTACCAGGATGAGCAGGAGAGATTTGTGTGCAACACCATCCAGCCTGGCTGCGCCAACGTGTGCTACGATCTGTTTTCTCCTGTTTCACTCTTCCGCTTCTGGCTGGTGCAGCTTGTCACCGTGTGCATCCCTTACATCCTCTTTGTCATCTACGTGGTCCATAAGGTGTCCAACGCCCTCACGGTGGAGCTGAACTCCCAGAAACAAACCAAAGCCTTTCAGCTGTTCAGAATCCGACAGGAGCCGTCCAACAAGTTGCCTCTCGCAGTAGAGCAGCGAGGGTGGGCCCGGTCCTTCAGTGGAGCCTACATCCTCCATCTGATGTTCAGGACTCTGCTGGAAGCAGGCTTTGGAGCAGCTCACTACTATCTGTTTGGTTTCTACATCCCCAGGAGGTTTCTTTGCCAGCATGCTCCGTGCACTACCCAGGTGGACTGCTACATCTCCAGGCCCACTGAGAAGACTGTGATGCTCAACTTTATGCTGGGCGTGGCCGCTCTGTCCTTTTTCCTGAATGTGCTGGATTTTATCTGCACTGTCAAGCGCTTGGTGAGACAGAAGAGCAAGAGGAAGGTGTTGGTTGAGAAAATACTAGAAGAGGAGCAATGCTTCCTTTCAGCGGGAGGAGCGTCCAGGGGCAACGACCAAGAGCAGGAAGCACAAGACGGGCAAAAGGGGGGTTTCCGGAAGAGGAGAGGCAGCAAGGGGTCTTGTGGAGTAGGGAAACGCGATTTAGCTCAAGAACCTCCCTCCATGGAGCGCTACTCTCTTCCTCGTTCTCTCGGCCCGATGGGCTGCACCACCAACGGTAACAATGCCGACTCGGTCTCCCAGGAGGAGGCTCCAGAAAGGGCCGGCAGTGAGGTGGCTCTCTGTCCCTTGGAGCCCATGGGGACGCCCAGATCTATTCGTGTTAGCAAACGGGGCCGACTCAAACCTCCACCCCCACCCAGACGTGACCTTGGTTTTCCCTCTGTGGGGCCATGTGCCCCAGTGGGAGATATTTCCACAGCAACAGCAATCTGTACCAGAAAGGTGGGCCAGTATACACTTGTTGAGGTTGGCTGCAGCGCAGAGCTGCAGACGGGCGACGATGGCCAGGAGAAAAGATCCGAGTGGGTCTGACTTTAATACTGTTGGAACCATATGAAGCAACAACTGCTTGGGTTGATATTTTACCACGTGACTGCCCTGTCACCCTGAGAAGAATCTATAATGGCATTACATTCACCGGACACCTTAGACTCTTATTTGCCATGATTTTTTTAATCATACCATCAAGCCGCATCTCCTTTGCAGCACTGGTCCGGTGATGCAAACTGACAAGAATTCAGCAAATCTCTGAATTTAGCAAGTCAGGAATGACAGTGAACTCAAGCCTTAACTGTCTTTGAGCAAATCCAATCCCTGAAACAATCTAAAAGAGGGCAGCCCACCTGTTGTTTGTTTTTTTCTTTCTCCCCATGATGCTTTTACCCCTTTTATAAACAAAGGCAGGCCCCACCCCACCTGACTGACTTTATTTACTGTGTCAGGGTCCCCGGGGTCAAAGCAGACACAAGCAGCCTCTGGGCGACCTTTTGGAACAAGAGAGTCGGGCCTAAATGAAAGGCAGTAATCTCACTAAGTCGCTGTTACCACACGTAGACGACAGAAAAGGATTCCTCCACAGCAGTGAAGGACACCGTGAAGGCCGATATAAGATCACAAAGCAATTATGTTCTCCCATAGGGGCTCTGTATTTATGGAGACAGCTTGTCACTCTATTTCAGGGCCTCGCAGAGCTTAGAAGGAATATAAACCTTAACATGGGCTGACACTAGAAATAGAGCACAGCGGAGCCCTGCAAAGGAGGACTGTGTGCTGCCCTGCAGGTTATCTGCGCTCAGCTTTGGTTTCCCTTTGATCAAAGCTCAGGTTAACGTGTGCCAGAAACTAGCAAACTGCTCCGACGCATATCAATCACAGAAATTATGATAACATGAAATGTGACCCTTTTTTTTCAACTCCCCAGGTGAATTCACGTGGAGGTCAAGAGTCTCCTACAGTAAATCAGCTGCGTTGCTCTTGATTATGTGTCGCTGTCGCTGAGGGGCCAGCCTTTGTGGAAATGGATATCTCTTGATCTTTGTCCTCTTGTGGTTTTTTTGATGATGACAACAAGAGCTCCGAGCCTCATATCTCACCTAGCTACAGAGTACCGCACCCTGACTGCGACCACGGGGAGGGGAGGGTTCATCAGACCAACATCAAAGGGATTCTTACTCTTAATGTAAAATGATGCATTCTGAATCCTACAGTTCAAATATTTCACATTATAATGTTGTGTTTACATAGTGTGTCTGGAAAGTATTCACAGCGCTTCACTTTTTCCGTATTTGTTCCAACATCTGAGCGATTGGGATAAAAGGGCCTTAGTCAGGGAGGTGTCCAAAAACCAGATGGTCACTCGAGCATTGCTCTGGACAAGCATTTCTGCGGCACTCCACCAGTCAGGCACATGTATAGCACATGACAGCCTGCCTGCAGTTTGCCAAAAGGCACCTGAAGGATGGTGCGATGAAACAAAGACTGAACCAAGAGCTGGACATCAATCGATCAATGCCACCCGACAGATGCGGCAGCATCATGCTGTGAGGATGTTTTTTGACAGCAGGAACTGGGAGACTAATCAGGTAAAGATGAATGCTGCCTTGACGATAACCTGCTCCTGAGCGCTCTGGACCTCAGACTGGGGCGAAGGTTAATCTTCAAACAGGACAGCAACTGCAAGCACACAGCCAAGACAACACAGGAGTGGCTTCGGGACCACTCTGCCCAGCCAGAGCCCAAACTCTCATCTCTGGAGAGTTATGAGAACAGCTGTGCACCGCTCCAACCTAAGGGAGCTGTGATTGCTTCCAAAGATGCTTCAACAAAGTATCGAGCAAAGGCTGCCAATCCTTCTATACATGTCATGTTTTTGTCTTTTAGTTTTAATAAATATTCAAGAATTTCAAGCAAACGTTTCTTTTACTTTGTCATTATGGGGAATTGTGTGTAGACTTTTTAGGTGACATATCAAAGAAGTGAAGCTCTGTGAACACTTTCCGGATGCACGGTAACATAAAATTTGATTGCAATCACTGCCTTTTTTTTTTTTTTACCTTTATAATATCAAATGAATTAATATCCAGTCAGTGTGGATTTGTTTTTCAAGTGAGAATTCATGTTTGTGCTTTAAGCTTTTCTTAGATTTTTATGCACTCGTTCATTAGCAGTTCTGATTTTCTATTAAAATGGTGATGACGCTGAAAGCAAACTTTTCTCAGCACTGTATTGTTCCTCCTTCCCGCTGTGCTGTATTCTCTGCACCAGCACTGTACTCTGGAGTCTTGCTGCCCTCCAGTGACGCCGAATGTGAAGTGCTGCCTTCAACTGAATCGGCTGCTCTCTGGAAACGTGAAACGTGCATGTTTTTCCCCCGAATTCCCAGAGCTGTAGGCATGCTGTTCATTTTCAGTTATAAAACCACGTTATTGTACTGAAAGAAAAGGAAAAAACTAATTACTTCTGTTTTCACTGATTATCCCAAAATAGCTTGTTTTACAGATATATTTATTTTGAAAGACAAAAAACTAATAGCTACTAAAACTACTCCCTACCTGAAAATACCGTACACCACACTGTACCATTAGACTTGCTGTGAAATGTGTGTATTATCATAATGTCCCCTTTTGTGCCTTTTTGTGCTACTGTGAGCATTTAGTAACATCCGCTGCAATGAAACATTGAAATGTGAAAGTGGCTTTTTCTTCTTTTCGTTTGCTACTGCTGTTGTCTCGAAAAATAAAAAGCTAATCAAAGGAATCACCCAAAAAGATTTCTTGATTTCAAACATTTCACCAGCGTGTAAATAATAAGCCTTCAGCCATGTAAAGTGGCAGATACTGGTGCTGGCTGGAAAGACTGTCTGATGACCTCTTAAGGAATTTTAGGTTGGGGGAAGCAGTCCCTGCAGAGGATTCTGGGAGAAATAAAGTGCACAATGGAAACACTGGGAAAGGGCACTGGCATGCTATCTGTGGGTGCATGTACTGCAGCTCCTCCTTACAGCAGGCGCTGCTAGCAGACTGTTTATTATGAAATGTTCTGTTCCACAGCAGTGAGTCAAATATGCTGGTGTTAAATCTGCCGCAGGTACAGCCGTGAGTCTGTGGGTTATGTTTCACAGTGAGGCCTTCGATGGGTTTCATTTGGTTCTCATGATGACTCTTTTAATCATTTCGTCAATGTGGTTATTTGGAATTTAAAAGAAAATTTCAGGACTGCAAATGGACCCTTTTCCTTTTCCACTGGTAATCTGAACTCTGAACTTGAGAAAAACTTAGCTTGGAAACCTCCCACTGTTCTTCGTTTAGGTCTTTAAGAACATTTGATTGGGCGTGTCCACTGTAGCACTTCCAAATATTTGTTATTATAAAGCATCTCTGACTTACGCCTGTTGTGAGTACAGAGCACAAAGAGAGCAGTCCCCAGGCAGCCGTGAGATTTTACACAATCAGAACAATCTGCCCCTCTGTCTCCAGCGAGACAATGATGGCTCCTGTTTTTGGGAGGTCAGCTCATCTTCACTTTGTGCGCTGAGACTACACCCAACACCTTACTCACTGCCCTCCTGTTCCCTGTGAGACACAAACACAAAGTAAAAGCAGCTTCACTGTCCCGCTAACTGTCTGACGCACATTCAGCTGTTGGAAAAGAGGGATCAAGGCAGAAAACAGCATGGCTTACATGCACTGTAGTAAACAGAAACTGAAAAAAAAAATTGATGAAAAACAAATGTGTATGTTCTATCATTTCCCCTATCATGATGACGCATAAAACCCAACTATTTGTTTAAAACTGGAGTGTTTATTGAACCTTTGGACAAAAAAAAAAAATTAATTAAATAACAGTTTGTTCAATTTGTAGCATTTGTTTTTTTTGCTACATCCTTTGCTACATTTGTAGCAAAGGATGCTACATGTTCAATTTATTGCTAAAAATTTAAGAAGCAACTTATTCATGTTTTTTGGGATAAATTAAGGTAACACTTTATAATACAGCCACTGACCAAGAGCATAATTAAACTGTAATTAAATAGAATTTTAACATATTTCATTTGAAATTACAATATAATTAATTTACCTACAAATACTTAAAGGTGGGCACACTTGAATAATAAAGTGTAATAGCGCGTAATAAGAAATATTTATACTTTAAGTAAATTTAAATACTGTGAAGTAATTTCAAGTAGTGTGCAGTTTTGTGGTAGTTTTGCAGTGAACATGAGCAATATTTCCTCATCTTACATCATAAATGATGCGGCCAAGTCTAACTTTAACAATCACTGTTCAACACAACTTTCAAAAAAGAGTGCACAAAGTTTCACATTTTCTGTAAAGACACCTGGCAGTAAGATAGGTTAATCCTCTTCATAATATGGCCTGTGCCTTGAAAAGTACAGCAGAATAGAAGAATTTAGGCACCACTTCAAATGACTTATGCACTGATTAAATATACATACAATGTATTTATTTATTTCCTGTACAATACATGAAGTTTATGCAGTATTTAAGATTACTTACACATTATTTAAATGTACTTACAATGTAATGAGTTCTTTGTTTCCGTTATAACTTCCAGTGTACCTACCTGTAAGTATTTGCAGGTAAATATAATTACAACGTCATTTTAAGTAGAAAAATTCAGAGGAATTACAGCCTTAGTCACAGGCTAATGTATCGTATGTGATACACTTGGCTTTACAGGGTTGAGCATCTTTCTGTGCTCTGTCATCGACAGGGTGCATAAAAACCTAAACCTCAGTGTGGAGTCAGTCTGTCTACGAGGAACCACCTCAGGGTCGTACAGTGGACAATCCACAGTTACACAAAAGAAAGAACTATGACTCTATTATAATACAGGAAATACAATGTAAACAAAAGCACAGAGTGTGTGTATTTTAGATCTATTCTTTTATGGTTACTCAGACTAATGCATCAATAAATATAAAAGGATTAACACGAACTTTATCTGAACAGAGGCTGATGTGGAGCAGCTATGAAGTAGAATAAAAATGCATCATTTTATAATTTATCGTTGTTTTCAGTTTGACCTGCTCAAGACACTTCTTGAGTATTAATTTGTGCTCCGTTGTGTCTTTTGTGTTAAATGTCTCACAGTAAAAAAAACAAAGCAAGAGAAATCTGCACTGTATCAGCAGCAGGACAAAAGAGTACTCCTAGCTGATGGCTCCCTCAAGTGTACACAGATGGGTATTACATTAAAAAGTAACAAAATTGAAGCATATGGAACATAATGACTAGAATTTCTGCTGATCACAGCATATATACTGACAGATACTGTGTCCCCTAAATCTTTGTTACAGTTATCACTGGTGCTGAGCGCCTTTGGCTGGGCTGAAGGTTCGCCCCTGCTGTGCCCGTACCCAGAATGTATCTGGAAAAACTGTCGGTCCTTGGGATGAAAGATGTGAAGCGCTGAGGGGAACACAGAGTTCTGCTCCTGCTGTGTGTTTGAGAGAGAAGGACAGGGTGGAGGGTCAGCAGCTTTAACATTAATCTTAACGGGTCCCAGAAACCTGAGGTCACTGTTATTCTTTATGCATAGAAGGATACACCCAAGGAAACTCTGGAGTTTAATTGCTATTGTTCAACATTCACTGGCAAATATAACCAGGATTTTTTTTTAAGGAAAAACAATAGTTGCTGGCCTTATATTTACAAAATCCAAGTGGGATCACATGTGTTAGTGCTTAAGAAAAGACATTTTTAATGTAAATCTAACAATAGATAATACTGGGCTGATTTGTCTGTCGAAAACAGCCAATACAGATCACAAGATGCTGTCCACAGCTGCGGCGTGTCCTCTCACTGCGCTGAGATTAAACATAAAATCTTTACCCAAGTGTACCGGCAGGATCGATGGTATTAAAAAGCATGACCTGCCCAGCACCCCTCCGCTCTCCTCTGTCTGCCTTTCATCAAATGCTGCCATTAATATTTGATAAGCAGCAAGTCAGAATGTTCCTCCTGGCTGCAGAGAGTGATCAGGAAACAAGACAATTCAATCAGAGGGAGCGAGAGTGAATGATTGGATTTCCTCACCGTTTGAGGGATTTGATTCTTATCAGATTTAAGTTTGCTACCATTCTGCTCCAGTGGAGCTCAGGGATGCACTGAGAATAAAGAGCCCCGAAAAGAACAAATAGGTAGCCTCGAACAGCTGAAAATACACATTTAACTCAGACGCGACCTGCACTGTATCCTCCTCCATACCTTACCATACGATGAATGCACCTAAAAGGCATTCTGTGCAGGAAACAGGCTACAACATAACAATGTGTATATAACAGCCAAGCCAAAACCTGCTTCCTTAAGCACCTGGATGGCTGGATTGTGAAGGCAAATATGTGGGGATGTTGTATATTGGTGTATGGTACCAGGTTTGAGAGGAGAGGTATAAATAAAAATGGTCTAACATTAACTTGTATCTTAGACGTTTCAGGTAAAAGAGAGAGAGCTAAGTGCTAGTGAGTGATTAGGACTACGATTCAATTTATCTTGTTCTCAGTTTAACCATATGTGGTTAACTAACTCTGGAAATCTTTCAACCTGTGAATCCCAGCCAAGGAGTACAGAAGCTGAGGTGTATGTGGAAAAATATGCACAGCTATTACAGTTATTAAAGTTAAAACCATGTGGTCCTGACAAAAACTCAAGCGAAAGGTTCATTAAAAGTAAAGTAAAGTAAGTATGCCACTTGTGGAAAAAAATTGAAACATGAAAATAATTAAATCGTCATAACTTGCAAAATATGTTTGAAATCCTAAGCTGGACAAATTAAACTTAGCTAAACATGATGTATCAACTGCTGAAATACTATAGTTTGCTAAAATTATGAATAACAAATTGTGACAAGTTTGCAAAATGTATGGCTAGTAGTTAAAATTGCTGAAGTTTGAAATGATTAACCATTGAAATAGATAAGCTAACATTCTGAATAAAGCCAAATTCTTAGATTGTTTGGTAAAAGTCCAGTTAAAGCTGCTAAGTTATGATGAATAAACAGTTAAAATGCAGTGGCTTGCAAAAACTATGTATAAATAGATAATTTGGCAGTGCGTAATTTACATGAGTATTAGGATAAGCCTTGTCTGGTTCTCGGATTAATAATGTTGATTAGCTCTGAAAACATTTAAGCAGTGACTCACAACCAGCTATCAGGGGTATGTGGAAAGATTAACACAACTATTAATTATCAAATATCAAAAAGACTCAGCAGACCCTAACCCTAAGCTAATTAAAAGTAAATGAAAAATAGACCACTAGCGAAAAAAGTCGCAAAAAGATAGTAAAAGAAGAAGTTCTAACTCGCTAAATGTGGCTAACAGTTGACATGATTAGCTTACAGTGGGGACAAATTCAACTGTTAGCTAAACATGATGTATCGACAGCTGAAATACCACAATTTGCTAAAATTAAGAATAAAAACTTTACATTAAAAAACTGTGTAAATGGTTGTAAATAATGCTAAAAGTATGGCTAGCCTAGCAGTCAAACTGTTAAGTAACATTACTGGCTCACAGCAGAAATAGCAAGATAATGTTTGAATAACTGGAACTGTTGAAAATGATGAACTACAAGTAAAAATGAAGATGTTAGCCAGACAAAACAGATCAACATGTGAAACTGGATGACATAATGACATGAAAAGCTGTGAAATGGAATAAGCTATTAATTTAACTGAGAAATAATGATATTTATGGAACCCAGATCTATGTTCAAATGTGTCACTGGTGATGAAGATGAACCTCTTTCATCTGACTGTGAGCACTAATTGTTGAAACATCTAATCTTTATTCCAAAATGAGTAGCAAACGATGATACCACAAATACAGATGCTGTATGTAGAACTGCGCAGTGCTGTTTTAACCACTAGATGGGGTTGCAGAGCAGGTCCTTTGCTGAGATGCTGGCAGGCTGAGAGAGCTGCAGCTCAGCACTGTTTGGATAAGATAAACACCAGAGAACCAGACTGAAAGCAACCGTGATTATTCATGAAAATAAAACAACAAACGATTTGGAGCATTAAACTGAAATGTGAGATGGAGGGATGCTGTGTTTACATGTGAAATACACTTTTTCAAACTTAACTATACCACCAAATGTGACAGTTAATGCCTCCACACAAACATTAACACTACTCAGAGCTATGCCAGTTTTGTAGAAAATGACCACAATGTAAAGAGACCACTGCCCATCTTGAAAAAAGTTACTTTCAACTTCAAACTTTAGTATCTTGTTCTTCGCTGAGAGCAGGGATCATTAGGCTGGCAGTGATGCAGGATTTATAAAGCTGACTAACACTGTCAGCAGATGCATGTCCATGCTGCATTTACAGTGTGAGTGTAGAGGAATAAAGCAGGAACAAAGCAGTCACTACAAAGCCTACTGTCACCATTGACCAGCAAATCAAAGGCATGTCTATGCTGGGTTACAGTGTATCATCTTATGCCAGCGCATTGGGTTAATTGGGACCAAACCAGATAGATACATTTGTAGCAAAAAAAGAAGAAGAAGGAAAAAAAAGCCTCGATTAAGGGGCTTTAAGATGTGAGATCATGTGAACAGACCACCTGTGGGGCTTTCATTGAGATTTCAATATCATTCATGTCAAGGCCCCTGCACTCACTGACACAGCTTGAGCTGAGGGAGAAGATGCTTCAATTGAAACCTCTGCAAAAAAAAAAAAAAAAAAAAGCCAAACACAAGACGCAGGGGCTCTGGCAGGTTTCAGCTCTGACAACCCCTCCCAAAAAAGCAAGGGGGTCCCAAAATGCTCTTTCAATTGTAGGCCGTCCATCAAAGCATCCAAATGGGGACGTTTAGGGGGAACCTTGGCACATCAGACAGACACTCGTAATACACACCACCTTTATTCTAGGCTGTTAAAAAAAAGAAAGAAAGATCAAAGTTTCTCCAGATGAAAAGGGTCCGTTCCCTGCATTTATACCCCCCCATTCACCCACTCCCTCTTTTACCAAATTAAGAAAGCAGGCTTCGGCAGGCATGTGAAGAGGACTTTAACAATTATGGAGATGCTCCAACTCAACCCCTGCCTCTAATTACCGGTCTCTGATGGTTAAAAGGGCTTCCTTTTTACCCGGGACTCTCAAAAGCTGCCATCATCAACATGGTGACCATAAGGAACCACGAAAAACAAAAAAATAAATAAAATAAAAACAGATATGAGGCTGTCCAGACTGGCACACAGAAATCCTCAAAAGCACTGCACAGATATTGAGATTTGTCAAATGGTTTTATTGTCAAAATAAAGGTCATATTTGCTTTCTTCACAAAAGAAACATCTACACTTTATACAAATTTACAATATCTTATAAACTTTTCTTTTATACACATATGTACACGTTTTCTCTCCGTTGTTGTTTTTACAGAACTTTTATATAAATACATTTGTAATTACAAAATCAACGACGCATTTAAAAACAACAACAACAAAACTATTGGGCACTGTTAAGGCTTAATTTAAACCATCTTTGACGAGATTGGAGATTATACAACGTTATCTGGCACTGTGTAGAGAAAATAGCAATAAAAATCCCCCCAAAAATGCTCTTTGTGTGAAGCTGGTTAGAAACTAAAACCTCTGCCCCCAGCAGGTAATGGCCACATTGTGTAAAAAGCCTCATTCTGTACCTCTAATACATATAAACAGGAAAGGGGGCGTGTGTGGGGCTTAACCTGTGTGAATGCCAGGTACATTGTTTCAACCAATTCTCAGTTCATTACGATGCAAATTGCTCGACACCTGGAGTGATGGGTTATCTCCCAAAACAATTAGCAGTTCCCATAAGCTGCTTTTAGTGAACCCCCCCACCCACCCACTCCAATTCAAACCTGGGACAGTGGCATCTGCTTGGGGCAAGACACAGAGCTGGCTGTGCCCGACCTCCACGTCAGTCCGGTGCTCACGTCGCTGTACATGGAGCCGCTGGTGCCTTTGCTGCCCCAGCAGCACCTGGTGCAGAAAGTTCTCCAAGAGTCCAAAGTTTTCCCAGACCAGATCCACACCCCGGACGTGATGCCCACTAGAAGGCACATAAAGTATTTCAGCATAAAAACGGCATAGTCCGGAGTCCTGCGGTCCCGCTCTAATAAACAGTTAAAGCAGTTGTGCGTGACCTCCCAGCTCTGTCTGTTGTGCTGCTCATAAAAGTAACAGGCCACTATGATAGTGGCGGGCACCGTGTAGAGCACCGTGAAGATGCCTATTCTGATCATCAGCTTCTCGAGTTTGTCAGTTTTGGTGCCGCCCTGCTTGATGACGCTGCGGATCCTGAACAGCGACACAAATCCAGCCAGCAGGAACATCGTCCCTATGAATAAATAAATCACCAAAGGCGCGAGGACGAAGCCCCGCAGGTTGTCCAGGTTCTGGTTCCCCACGTAACAGATGCCAGCCACCGAGTCTCCATCCACGGAGCTCAGCGCCAGGACCGCGATGGACTTCATGCTGGGGATAAGCCAAGCGGCCAGGTGGAAGTACTGAGAGTAGCTGGCGATCGCCTCGTTGCCCCACTTCATCCCGGCCGCCAGGAACCAGGTCAGGGAGAGGATGACCCACCAAATGGAGCTGGCCATGCCGAAAAAGTAAATAAGGAGGAAGACCACGGTGCAGAGCGCGGGGCCGGTCGTCTCGTAGTGGATGTGCTCCACGTCGAACTCCCGGTTGCACGCCACTTTCTCGTGCCCGGCGATTAGCCTGACGATGTAGCCGACCGACACGAACATGTAACACGCCGAGAGGAAGATGATGGGTCTCTCCGGGTACTTGAAGCGCTCCATGTCGATGAGGAAAGTAGCCACGGTGGCGAAGGTGGACACAAAGCACAGCACTGACCAAAGTCCGATCCAAAAAGCGGTGAACGCTCTTTCGTCGTGCGTAAAATAGGGATTGTGGCACGGCATGGCGCAGTTGGTGATCTGCCCCGTCTTGACCCGGTTGTACAGCGGGTGGCGTTCCGTGTTCACCGGCACCATGGGCTCCAAACATGTGCATCCCGGCTCGCACGGAGCGGCGGGCGGCTTGTATTTCCCCGGCGTGCCGGGTCTGCCTGGCTTATTTTTCGGCGGATTGTAACCCTTACCTGGGTGGTTGGTGGGTTTGGAGAGTACCGGGGACGCTGTAGTTGAATCGGTTCTGTTGTAGTCCATGCACAGCGTGTCTGGGTTGCCCTGCACCGGCAGCAGGTCGCACCTCATCCTGTCCGGCCAGGGAAATCCGTACTGCCTCATGAGAGGCGCACAGCCGGCCCGAGCTCTCTCACACACGCTCCGGCACGGGGGGAGAGGTTTTTTGTAGTCCTCCAGGCAGATCGGCGTGTACATGCTGCAGAGGAAGAACTTCAGGTCCGGCGAGCACTGGATCTCAACCAGAGGCCAGAACTGGTGCACCTCCAGTCCCGCCTCGTCCTGCGTGTCGTGGTTAAACTGGTTGGGCATGTACGTGTAGTTGTAGCCGATTCCCTTGCACAGAGGCACGGCTATCTCCTGGCAGGTGATTTCCTTGGCTGTGGTGCAGCTGGATCGCGGAAAGAGAACGAGCGAGAGGAGCAGATAAATCCCAAACAGGTCCATCTCTCCGGCGCGTCGCGTCCTTCTCTTTCTGCTCTGGCGCAAACGGCGATAAATCCTCTCAGGCGTCTGCTTTCGCCTCCAGCCCGGTTAGATGCTGCGCGGCGATCCCATCTCGCTTCTCTCGGGATCTTGCACGGAGTTGCGAGCAATGTGCAAGCCTTGTTTACTTTAGGCTGAGGAGGAGCAGGAGGAGGAGAGAAAGGAGCCTACAGGGCGGAGAGCGGAGCTCAAGATGGCTGAGAGGAGAATCCAGCTTCTTCTTCTGGAAGCTGCTGTCAGTATCCAAAGAGGAAAAAAGAAAAGAAAAACCCCAAGTAATGTCCGATCGTTGCACGCGGGGGGAACGTGGGCCTCCTTTCTTTCTCCAAAACACAGCGACCACATTCAGTCGGCTTGTCCCACCTCTCTCCTGGTTCCCATACAAAACATCAGCTTGTGGACGAAGCGGTGCCGATATATACCAGAGCCCGGCTGAACACACCCCCGGAGCCCCTGCTCCTATCACAGAGAGACAGGGGCGGGGCTTCCCAGCTATCACTCAAGCTTCCTTACCTAAAGTCTTATATAGCTCATAATCAGAGAAGTGTCGCCAGTTGTTTTGTGACTTCGGGTTCAGGACAGTGATGCTCGAAGTTACCGAGAGCCGCGGATCCTCGGACACTGAGACCAAACAGACATATTTTAAAAATGAATGAAGCCACCTGCGTGACACAGTTGTGCACCTTGTGTCCTGTATTTATCATTTTTATGAACTTCCCAGAGCTGCTAGTGCTCTCCAAACAAACTCTGTCTACGCAGTAAAGTCAAAAGAATTCCACAACAAGCACAAAACAAGAGCGTTAACACACATTTCAAAAATCACTCCAGCGTTCACTGTCGTGTAACTTTCCTTCAACACACCACCTTTGATAGCGTCACAACAACAGTTAACACGCACACCAGGCGCGGGGAGGATGCCTCTGGCTGCAGATGATTGTGTCTGCCAGAGAGGGGCCGGTTCGGTAAATTGGCTAATTTGCGCATGATAAGACTACCCAGGGAGCTGTCTGTCCTTGTGAAAAGCTGTTTTATTTTTTAAATGAGGTGCTAATGTTTCGTTTAACGGCTCGCACAGAGCTCCGCGGGAGGCGTAATTGCGCGAGGCAAAGACCGGGCGGCATGAGCACGCTGAGACAGTGGCAGAGCCCTCATATCAGTGTTAACATGATTGTCGAGCCTGTCTGGAGAAGGGGGGTGGGATGGGGGGGGTGTCTCTGTAGTAATGTGACGCTAATCTCATTGTAGTGAATCTTTTTTTTTCTTTTTTCTCTCTCTCCGCACACAGTTTCTGTTACTTCTCTTAAGACTTGCTCCACATCAAATCAAATGCACTGCACAGAGGAGAGTGCTCAACTGTATACAAGGTAGGCAAACTTAATGCTCCCTCACACATCAGTGCATGAATGGAAGAAGCTCCTTCATGTCAGAGCACAACCTCCTGCAAGCGCTGAAATTGTGTCCAAATAAATACCAAATATATTTGCAAAATATGAACAAAAATCGACATTTAACATGACAGCATCAAGATTAAATGTTGGATATGTTGGATTTAAAGCTAGCTAGGGCAGGTTCCGGATGTTCTTGCAGGAGATAAACATTGGAATCCCCCATCTGATGACACTTTACTCTCAAATGCACCACAAGGCGAAGACCTCTGTAACATTTAGGAAGCTGTTTTTTACATTCCTGTGACTTCCGCTGATGTGCAGTTTAATTTAACCGTGGCATCATTCTAACCGACTGTCTAGGAGATGGAAAACCGCACAGCTTCTGTTAAAAAAGAAAAAAACCCCAAAGAGGCAGGCAAGGCTAGACATGTGATCGGCACATCTGCTCGAAACTTGATCTCCATCTCACAAACAAGGGAGATGTGCTTTTGAGTTGGCATTTTTGTCACACACACACACTTCCAGCAAGAGTTTGAGTGTTAAAAAGCGAATGTGTGGTCTCACTCTTTTTTTTTTTTAAAGCATCATCTTCCCAGGTTCCCATCCCAGTATAATGCAGTGTTGTGTGTGTGTGCTGGGACTGGTGTGTGGTGGTCATGGTGTTGGAGTTTATTGTGTTTGGAGTGGAGCCAGGTCTTTATCATTTGAGGCAACTTTTAAAAAAATATACACACACACATGGACTCGACTCACTGAAAGGATAACACAAGTCTGGGTGAGCTGAGTATCAGGAGAACACAGACTGATTAAGTGAGTCGCCGGTGTGAGATAACAAGGAAGGAGCTCTGTTAATGGCTGTTTGCTTTTGATTAGGAAACAAGAGTTGAGCTGGCAGCTCTGCAGAGGTATGCAAGTGTACGTTTGTGCACACGATGGACGGTGTGATATTTTCCCAATAATAAACTTTGGAGAAAGAAAAAAAGAAAATGGGCACGTAATAAAAAAAGGGAGTGAGGGTAAGGTGCTGGTCACAGTGTGGGAGAATGATGGAGGGAGCAGAGGGAGGATAGATGAGGGTGAGAGAGGGCGTTGTGGACAGAGATAATGATTTACTCTGAAGGAAGTGCACTTGTGTCCTGTTTGCAACGCATGCTGTGAGAAAATCTCCCCGCCGCCACACCGAAGCCTTGAAAAAACACTCTGTGACCAATGAATAAAATCCACAATCATGTCAAGATCCAGAGTTAATGCGTGCAGTTTAAAGCCTCGCTCTGTCTGTCAGTGTCAAGTGCTGCCGCTGAAGAAAGGGAGCCCATCGAGTGCGACTGCTTGCCAAATCCTGGACTTACCTCAGAGATGGTGAGACGGAGATATGCTAATGCAACTTTATCTTGTAAAGGAAAGCTTCGAGCAGATTTAGCCAATCTGCTGGACACAATTCCAAGAGCCTCGGTGGCATTTAGCGGGCTCGCGCTAACCCCGGGCTGCTTGTTAAGACTTCATTAGCTGTGTTTGCTCAGGCCTCTTCTTTCCAAAGAGGTGGAGGAGGGCTCCCCAGGCTCCAGCTCCGGCCCCACTCTAGCCCCTCCATATGGGGCTTGTTTGCTCATGGCTGGCCTGGTAATCACTTTCAGGTGGAGCTGGAGGAGACGGAGCGAGGCTGAGTGAGGGGATTTTGGAGAGAGCTGGACACCATGCTCCTAGCCCCTGCCACTGAAACCCCCCCCCCCCCCAGGTTCCACCGGGGCACTCCTGAGGTGACAGAGTGTGCAACGTGTACCCTGTGAATTAACTCACCTAGGGCCCATTATCTTAACAAACACAGCCGGCCCCTCTAATCAACCTACTGCTGGGAGGACAGAAGGCCCCTAGTAAATCCTTCCCTATGGCCCCTGAAGGGTGAAAACTATCAAATAAGTGAGAGAATCACAACTTGTATTAACAAGACACCACAAGGAAACTTTGAAACTTCATTTCCTGCTATAGTTCAATTATATTTATACGCCCCGACAGCCTGCGATGTGATTTTGGTGAAAGACAAGAGGCAACGACGCAAAAGAGCCAAAGGATGTCCGCACTTTAAAGGCAGGAGTCGCACTCTGCAGGGACAAATAGTTCCACTGAAAGCTTTTGGTAGAGTGGAAAGAGATCCTGCTGTATATATGCACATGTTTAAAGCTTTTAACCCCATAAACAAAACTCATTTCCTAACAAGAAGCATTCAGAGAGAGGAAATCTCCACCAAGGCAGCTCAGTTTATATTGGAATAGAATAATCAATGGTTACCAAAAACAGAGTAGTGTACCGTTATTAAATTAAATAATATTAAATGAAGTTAAGAGGCAAACCCTGGTTATAGTGTGAATCGGTTGATAAAATAGTGCAAGTTACAGCACTGATGTAAACCTCTATGTTTGCTGGGAGCAGTTTTGATTGTACAGTTTGTGCAGCATACTTCAGGTTTGTACTGCAGTAAAAACAAGTGCAGGCTTTTGTTATGTAGAAACCCATGTTATTATAGAGGTCAAATGAGACATATTTAAATCTTTATACAGTACTTTCTATATGTTGACAACACACAGCACACTTGCAGACTTCAAGACCTTTTTGAATGTGAGTCAAATTTGAATGGATCCCCTTCTACACCCCTAAAAAAATGTTTTATCAGAATTTATACAAAACCTTTTGAGCTGTTGTGTTTACAGACGGAATGATGACACACACACACACACACACACACACACACACACACACACACCACACACACACACACACACACACACACACACACACACACAATACACACACACACATGCACACACACTGCATTATAAATGTTTTATAATACATAACTACAGCTTTTTGGGTTGCCAGATTGTGTAGTAACATTTTTAACATGTAAAACAGCAGACTGGACAAATAAACCCCCCCCCCCTCTTTTTTTTCTTGAAATGATTAAAGACATTAACATTTACATCTGCAGACACGATGGCCTATTAGAAAACATTAGCGTTTATTTTTAGCCTAACCACATTTGGTTGATGTCCAAAGCAAACCACATCTTAAAACTTGCATTAGCATTCCCCTACCTCCATCCTTCACGAGAAAGTCTTTGATGTCTTTGATGTGTGACATATCTCTCACAGGACAGTGACATTATAATCACACACAGCAACCTAAGGGATTTTTCTCATCTCGGAAGATTAAAATTAGTAAATACTATTTGGCTAAAATATCTCTATGATTTTAAAAAAGTGGAAAATAGTTTAGTACCTAATAACAGTTGAATTTATTGCACCTTCTATAATATTTAAAAATGGTACACAAACCTGCTGTAGTATAAATGTCAGTGATGGGTAAATGGTTATGTGCTTGGGGCATCTGTAACCATCCTAAACTATAGTCTGATCCAACACAGTTGCTATTCTTTGACCCAGAAAGTGAAATTGAGTACAAGGTTGTAAATCTTGTTGCGTAGATCGGTAAAACTGTAAAATTCGGAGGTAAAACAGATTTCTCCCCTTCCTCAGCTAATTAAAAGTCCAGCGTTGTCTCTGTGAGATGGCTCTGTACCATTCTCCTGCAGCCAAAGAACTTGTTTGGCTTCTGTCCCTCAGCCAAGTGAGTGTGTGTGAGTTATTGTTTGGTGTTCTAAGCCATCCCATGCAACGAGAGTCTGGCCAGCCAGCAGAGGTCTGCTGCTGGCTGCTGTCACACCTGATACTTGACACTCCTGTTAGATTTATCTCCCCTCTTGTAAAACAGCCTGTGACTTGCTCTTTCCATCCAGAAAGGTAAGTGAGCCCACAGAGAATTCGCCTACTCTGGCAACACACACACACACACACACACACACACACACACACACACACACACACACACACACACACACACACACAAGCCTATATAATAGTGGGAGGGGATGTTTTTTTTAAACCCTGGGTGTAACCAGAGATGAGGCCTGCGCGCCGGGGACGACACATGGGTGACACTTAAGCAGGTAGACTTGCC